GTCAACAAGCTGTGCTGCCTGTCTCTGCTCTCAGGAATGGACTCCGGAGCCTCTTCTGGCCAGCTGATAGAGATGAGCGACGGAAAAGCTCTGCCTCTACATGCGACCGCAGTTCCAGCTCTCCCTGGGAGCAACCCAGAAAAACCTACCAAAAAGCCATTTCCCCTTTTCAAAGTCTCCTAAAATTACCATTTGTCTTTATTTATTATTAATTTAATTATATTCTTATACAAGACTTTTACCCGCAGGTTTTGAGAGGTTGAATACATTCTTTATCACATTTTACTAAACCAGAATTAGTCTGTTTAGAAGGACTCTGTTTTGAAGTTCTCCCTCCACACCTGCAGTTCTCCCGCAGCTTCGCAGGTGCTAATGGGGGGAAGCACAAAATCAAGAAACCCGCTGTAGGTGCCTTCACCTCAGTGCCTTCCCAGCGTTATAGGGAAACATCACCATCAGGGGAATTTTCTTAAAATACTTTCTTTGGAGAAATTTCTCAGCAGCTGCAGGTGCATGGATAGTTTGTGAACAGTGACTGCCTTAATGTTAGGTGTTGCAATAAGATCCTGGGATATTGGTGAAGTTACTGTCTCCTCATTACTCTGACTTCACCAGCCGCCTTAGAGAAAAATAATTTGAGCATGCCTCCTGCTACAGAAGTAGCCTGGGCACTTTCCTTTATCAAAGACCACAGCAGACACCATGACTCCGTTTGAGCTGTTAAAAAGGAATATGTACATAAACCATGTTAACTACTTTCTTCGGATGCTACAAATTGTACCTAGTGCTGTTTTCTCACAAACAGTTGGCAAGCTCCCTTTTTGATCGACCTTTGCCATCTTCACAGCCGACTTAAATTCATCAGGAATAAACGCCAGGCCTGTTTCTCCTCTGCTCATGAGCTAGGGCATCTCATTATTTTCAGAATATTCATTAGACTCTCTACTTACTCTAAAAATAGTAGGGTTTTTTTTGCAGCCGAGTGACTAGTGGGCAGCAGCTTTATGCATTTATCCGTTCCACAATACAAGATCGGATAACTTCATGTACTTAGACACTGTGCCTTCAAGAGAGTTGCCATAAATAGACTCCACCTTCCAGTATTTCACATTGTCAAAGCACTGGTTAATGTTCACTAATAGCAATTAACTAATTCACCTTCAGGGCAACCCTGTGAGCTAGGTAAAACTGATATAATTAACGCATGAGTGAAACGAGATTTAGGAGTTAAGTCAGTTGCCTGGGCAGAGGCCTTCATGGTCTAGTGGATTAGACATCTGTCTCTCCAACCAAAGAAGTTGAGTCTAATCCTTTTTCTGACATTGATTTGCTGTGTGACCTTACAGAAAGTCAATTAACTTCTCTGCCTCGGCTGCCCTAGAGATAATGATGCTTACCTACCCGGTGACACATGGGTGTTTGGAAACTGTACTAAATGATACTTTTAATGTACTCTTAAGGCCTATCAGTGGAAGAGGTGAACATTAAAGCTTCCTAGCTTTAATGTCCTTGCTGTGTTATCTAACTCCTGCTCCCCACACCAGAAATAGCTTGGGGGTAAGGAGGAATTTCTTAGGCTAAGATGCTGCTAGCGAAACTGTGGCTGGCATCAGGAATTTTCATCAGATCCTATTTGATCAGCAAATTTATTTAGAGTACAGGTCAGCACTAGAATTGCAATGGAAAGTTTATTTTAAACTTGGCCATGGAAGAAACCAGCATCCTTCCCATGCTACCGTGAGGCAAAGAGCAGACTGCCACGGCCATCCCCACCGAGCATCCCTGGTTCAAAGGGAGCAGAGCCTGTCTGCAGAGATCTGAGAGCCTGTGCTCGTGCACCATCCCCAGTTCCCTTGTACCTCTAAATGAGATTTCTGCAGGATAATTTCTACAGGTGGCCTTATCACTAGCAGGGATGCAAGCCCGGAGGGAAAGTACCCGTGTACATGCACCTCCTGGAGCAGACCTACCTGATCTTGCCGTCTCTGAGCACTGGGGCATTGTATTTAAAAGAAGGACAACTAAAACCCGCTCTGTTCAGTTCATCAGAAGCCATCCTTCGACTTCTGTCTACTCTCCACCATAGCTTTTCATGACATGCCATAGGGCATTAAGAAGTATTACTTCTGTAGCTGCCATTCAAACTGCCTGGCAGGTATCTAGGCTGGTGGTGTACACATGTAACTTTATACCCCTTTTCCCATATTCGACCTTGCTTTTAATTATTTCTACAAAATATTCCATTGCTACATATAATGCTGCCTAGGCCCATAAAATCTCCCACAATTCTAATATAGCAAGAAACCAGTCAAACGGGACGTAAGAATCCAACATTTACCTTTATTTCTGTGAGCAAGATTAATATTCCTTCTCTTTAATTCTGAAGGAAATGTCAGGGCTTTTTCCCTTTTGCTTGCTGAATTGTAGCAAGTGCGGTGAATGCTCATGCAGCCAGAAAAATAATAACCTGCTCCTGCCTCTGATGTAGCACCAATCACTTCTTGGCATCCTTTCTGCTGCCAATCTGCCCGTGCGCTGGCTGCTTTGTTTTGCTGCCCTGCTCTCTCCACCCTCTGACCAGTTAGCACTCGTCTCTTCTCCACCCTCCCAGCTCTATTGATAATGTGTTTAACATTTACTTTGATGCTATTCCTTGAGGCTTTTCAAAATCCTTCTTGGAAAGAAGACCATTAAAAAGAAACCCTTTGGGAAAGACAGGGAGGAAAGCTAAAGCAGAAAGGGCATGTGCTTGCGTATAATACACCCCTGCAGGCTTTGTCTTGCTGCAAGCCTGAAGATGACTTAATGCAAACCTGTACTGCTGTAAACAGGGAATAAATATTGTATTCTCCTAAAATACATCTGGGCTAATTCAATAAACCCTGACTTATTGGCTGCTACTTACGCAAACATCTGCATATTAAACCCCAGTAAATTACTAATGAGCTGTCAGATCAGTAATACAGATACTCCCAAGGCTAAAAGATTGTCTATAGCTTGTCCCTATATATTTACTTACTGCAGAGGCTACCGGTGTGGACTAGCACAGGCCAAATGGCTCCATGTCTATACACTGTGGAAGAACTTAAAAGTGACTTGTAGCTTATAAAATACACTCTAGGATTGTATACTGAGTGTGGCAAGGAGCATGAACTAAAACCGTATTCAGCCCTCACATGCCTAAAATATGACTTTTCAGTGCTGTTTTTTTCCTGGCTTAAAATAACCTGTGTGCTAACAGGTGATTAATATGTAACACATTTGGCACAAGCAGAACATATAATTGCATTCAGACAGTTTGTTGGTTTTTTTCAATGCTATTGAAGACTATACTCCTAAGCATTTGTAGCTTATCTAGCAATGTTATCCCCTGCACTTGCATGTCTGGTGGGGTTTTTTTGGCCTTACTATACAGAGAGTTAGAACCTGTACCTTACTGATCCTAATCTACTAGTGCATTGAAGCATCCATTTCACTCTAAGGTTGAGCTTCAGATCTCTGCTGCATCAGGCTCTTTGTTTAAATATGTATTTTTTAGTTTTATATTGCATATTTTGCAAGATTTCATAAAACTACCCAACATCCCAGTTCTATAGTCTGCACTAGAGACCAACAGGTGTGACTTCAACTTTATCTATCAATACAGTAAAGAATATGTAATACCAGGAAGGACAACTATTTTTGTTTTTCATCTTAATTATTTCCAGTAGCTTTTGTTTAACCCTATATATAAATAATGACAGTTTCCCGTGAGATGTTTTCCCATTTTTAAGTTTGGAATGAAACAGATGGTTTGCATATAATTTTTTAAGTTGAGTGTAAAGGTGTACAGACCTTCAGATTTATATTGGCTTTGCTATAAAATAATGTTGCTGAAGTAAATGGACACACTTGAACCTCCAGTGATCTTGTGAAACAGTGGTGGCTATTCAGATGAAACTGGTTCTATCTGAATTGGAAGAGGGACAGGAAATCATTTCATCTTAAGTTTGGTAATTTGGTAATCATTACTGTAAACAGTGTTTTTACTTCTTAGTATGATCATTAGAAGACAATGCATAGCCAGTATTAAACCGGGGCAGATACAGACGATAAAGGCAAAGCTTAATCTTGCTAGGATTAGTGACTCTAAATTGATATGACTGAAAAACATTGAAAAATGCTGAAGTTAGGCTGCTTCAGGGACTAACAAAATGCCTTGCCTGGTAATTTTCAAAAGTCTTTAGAGACACTGATTGCACCTGGAACCTCTGATTTGATTACCAAAATAAAAAGTGTCTACTGTAGTAGCCTCATCTGTACTTTAATTAAGAGCTTTGTATTTAAATATAACCATCTGATCCCCTGAGGTTATTTTTAAAGTAAGCTTCTGGCAAGGCAGCAGTGTGGTGGATTAGAGGCTTGGAGATGAGGAAAAATCATCATTCAGCATACAGTTTAGAATAATGTGTGCATATATAAAAATACATGTGTATACAACGTCATGTAACAAGATACAGGGCTGGATTTATTAAAGCCAAATGGAAAGATATTTCCTCTTTTAATATCCTAGATCTCTTTTAATATATGCGATGTAGATATTGCACTGCAGTCTGATTCAGATAAATACCACAATAGCACATCAATCTGATCTGTCCAATGAAAGCTCCGTTTTTCTACAAATGTAAAACCAAGTTATCAACTTAGCTGTCTGCATCTACTACTCCGTCTAACAGTGGCTGTTACACCTGATGCGGATATATAAGACATATCACCCATCAGCTCACCATTTATCATGGAGCGTGCAACCATGAGCCGAAAAGCAGCAGTGCCAGACAAAGCACACTGATGGGAACAGAGCAGCAGGGTAGCAGCAGGGGTGGCAGGCTGGGGGTGCTAATGAGCAATGTTAAAAGGGGAGGCAGGGAGGGCAGGGTGAACGATTTGTAGAAGACATGGGTGAACATGAAAAGCCAGGTGACTATGGATTTTTCCAGTTCTTATTTCAGAAGAGAACTTACAGCTTCCAAATTTTAATGGGCAAGCATGTGCATCCATGGGGAAATCTTCAAGCTGCATGGGACATTCAGCAGAGATGGTCAATCTGTGGGGGAGTAAAAACAAAACACATCATTTATTTTTCAGTGCCTTCCCTTTAGGCCTCTCACCGCAATACATGAGTGCTGACACAAGCAAGCTTTTCCTGAAGGCTCCTCGCTCCTGATGAAATCACAGCAATTCCCTGTTAAACTGAACGCGAGATAAGCCAGGTGGACCACTCTGCGTGCATGCTGTAGGTCTTATCTAGTAACGCTGAGACACGTGAAATGATTTTATTTATGTAAGCTGTTCCAGTAAGATCATTCTTTCTTACTAGTACGTGAAGGAACTCCCATGCTGGAGCTTCTGCCACACACCTTACACTTACCTGCTTTCTGTAGATACTGCAACTGGACTAGGAATTTGACTCATGAGTATAGCACTATTACAGACATAAAGAAGCACTGACTTTATATACAGATGTAACTATTTAAATACATAAAAATAAATATTTATAAATAAAAGTACATAATATAAATATTTACAACTGTACATAAACCTATCTATAAAGTCACTGACATATATATATTACTTTATATAGCACTAAAGTTAGTTTCTGTAGAACTCACATGGTATCAGAGCAGTCCATTTCAGTTCAACATACTGTGAATTACGTGGACACCTTGTCAGGAAAAAACGACAGGGTCATTTTCCCCAGCGTACTCCCTGGGGAAGCAATTCTATCCTGTACTGCCCTGGCACTATGTGGAAATTCTTGAGCTACAGCGGACATAGGGGTAGGGAAGGAAAAACTCTTAGGAAAAAATAGACATATCCCATGGATGTTCTGTACGATTGACAGATCAAGCTGAACACAAAGAAAAGTCTGAGGTAAATTTCTGAGCAGTGCAATATCAGTTGTATTGATATCAAGTATATTAAATATATCGAGAGCCAAAGCTTAGTTTTCTAGGTGCATGCAGCACATAGCACAATAAGAATCTGGTTTGATTATGCCATTTTTATATTTGTATAATACAGATGGTTTGCTCAGGATAGTGAGGATGCAAATCTCATTTTACATTATGAATACCCTTATGGCTTTCTTGTTTTGTGCTGCTATTCCGCCTCAGAGGCAACAGACCAGAGACCCAAAGCCTCACTGACTGCCCAGTGCTGGGGTTATCCAGGGCTCTGCTGGAGGGCAGCCCGGTTCCTTACCAAACTGCTGCCTGGGGGGCAAAAATCCGCAAAGAAATCCACAACACCCTACTACCAGAATGCAAAAGTACCCTTTCCTATCACAACAGCCGCACGTAGCCATACTCCCCAGCTATATGTACTCGCCGCTTCATATTAGCACACCAAAGTGAGTATTCTTGCTACAACTTCTATCCAAAGCAATCGTAAAGGGTAACAATCTGTCCGCGTGCAGATGGCACAGCATTCAGCCAGTCCAATTCAATACAACACAATGATGCCTTGCCGGGGCACTCCAGCTACATGGACAATAAATTGGGGGAAACAGCTCCACTCTCTGCCAATGCACAGAAATTCTGGAGCTTTACCAATAGCTGGAAATGGCAAAATAAGCACAGAGAAATGCAATAATATCGTTGGCTAGAGATCGTATCATGAAGATGAGCTGGGAAACAGAGAGGGAAAAAGGCAAACTGCAAACAGTAATAGAAAATTTAAAGATGATACACCATATAAAGCAAAATAAAAAAAAAATCCAGTTCAGAACAGAGATAATGTATCATTTGGTAAGGACAGACAGGAAGTCTACAATATAGAAAAGAAATTACTGAGGCCTGAGATACCTGGCCTTAGGCAAAACCGTTCTTGGACTTTATTTTTGTAAAAGAAATTTTAAAATCACTAAAATACAGAGTTGTCTGCAGTGGAGACTGCCCTTGGGCACCAAAGCCAGCAAAGCCACAGTCACTGAGAGTGCTACATGGATGAATTTAACAAGCTGGTTCTAGTAGCATCCTGCCCAGAACTTGCATCTTTTTCATAAAAATCACTCTTATGTGTACTTGAAAGCAAGGCTGCTGTACCTCCAATGTATTGTTATATTTTCTGTACTAAGTACTGCAAGTTTAATTTTCTTGATAAATTCAGAAACCTTGCTCCAAGTACGGTAAGAAAGCTGGTGTGTTTTACTGCAATCCATCTCCTGTCTCTTTGTCTACCAACAGTTCAAGTATGTTGTTTCAAAGGCTGCAGCCTGACATTTTAATACACGTACCTGTCATCTGCAAACATCAACAGAGAGGATCTCTATAGCCATCTTAGCAAGACAGCAGCTGTGGAATCAGGAAGTGAAAGAAGATTCAATGCAGAATTATGAATAAGACCTTCTGCTTCATCTGATTGTCCTATGAATTGTATCCTGCTGCCTGCATCTCTGGAAATAACCCTTGTGTGTAATGAGGAAGGCTGTAGACATTCCTCAACTGTAAATGTGGAAGTGAAGATGAGATGCAGAGACTGTGACCTAGCAGAATTTAATTAAGTCCCTCCAGAAATTATTTTTGCCTGTCTTAAATGAAAGGATAGCACATAAGGCTGGAGGGCACCTGGCTGCCACTACCTGTCTCAGAAGTTGCAAAGACCCTGGTGGTGCCAGGGTTACTCCTGTGCCCCCTCTGAATTCCTCATCCAGCAAAAGGTGGCATATCCCTTAAAATGATGGTGCCTGGTGCAGTCTTCTGGGTCTAGCCCAGGGGTAGGGAGAACCAAGTTAAGCGTCTGCAAATGTCTTGGGTACAGCCTGTCCTTCCATTAACATGAATTCTTCGGATGAAGAAGTTCCTTTTGCTCGTTATCAATGATATCTGGATGCTTCTTTCCTTTCCCTATGCCTCCATCCTAGGGCCACTCCTAGTCTGGCCATCTTGAACAAATGAACTAGCTATACCTATTTGTTACATACTATTCTTAAAAAGTATGTAGTTGAGCCTCTTAGGTAATTTTAAAATGCTCAGTGAACACTCTCCTAGCTACCTCTTACAAAGTGTGCATTACCCGAGGTTTGTGAAGCATCTTGCAATGGGCAACGCAACAGAAAACTTGACTGTGGGTTCTGATACACCACATAAATGTCACCACCCTGAATTTCTGCAGAGCACTCTGTGCCCGACAGGAGCTGTTCTTCATTACTGTGTGAGGACCTGAAAAACAGAGTCACTAAATTGACTCCTGGTTCAAAGAGACTGGATTTTCTACTGCATACAGAAGAAAAAGCAGCACAGCAGCCATCTCTTACACTCTGGGGGCTGGAAGCATGGGTCACTGCATACAGATTTGCTCCTAGGTACAGAGTACAAACTATATGTTCAGATCCTAGCTCCACGAGTCACGAAGAAATTGGTATCTGGGTCTGCTCCTTCAAATATCACATGGGGTGATATTTGCACACTTTGGCTTTTAACGTTGTGTTAAAGCTTAGATACCCTTTGCATACCCTAGTTTACACAGCTGATTATAACAAAATTACTCCCAGTTTGCATCTGTTGACAGAAGAGAAAGGAGGCCTTGGCATGCATATATGAAACAGCCTTTGCCTAATCCTTTTAATATGGTCACTCCAGAATGATCTTGCTGTGCTCACTCCAGCACAGTTATCTGAGCTACAGACAGTGTCCAAACGAGGAATTTTCTGTCACAGCACAACCACTGCTCAAACTGCAGTTCTTTCCAACAGAAGCATGTAAAAGCTTCCCTCCTCCACCATCATTCTGTCTTAATAAAAGCCCTATGGGATTAGTTTCACTCAAACAGAGTTTTTGACAAGATTATAAGTGGCTGTTAAAGGCCCTTTACAATGGGAGGATGAAACTCTGATTTTATTGAAGCTAATGGTAAAATTCTCCCTGACTTCAATGGGGCAGGTATTCACACAAAATATCTAACAAACCCTGGTTACAGCTGCTGACTTATTATTAACGACAAAATTTCACTTTCATAATGCCCCAAATGTAAATCGACCAGCAAAACGCTACAGCATACCGTAACCATCTAAAAAAAAAAGTTAGGTCTACAAATTATTTCACTGATCGTCCATAATTGTACATTAAAATTTCATCAGAGCTTCACTATGTATAGCCTTTACTTTAAGAACGTAAAGTGATTACTGATGTTCTGTTTCAACAAAATATAGACACATAAGTGAATACCCAGCTAAGAAAAGCACAATTCAAGCAGCAAGTCTTCTTCATTCCAGAAAAGTCACCTTCAACCATTTCCACTGGAGAATTAAGTAAGATGATGCTTTTAAGAGGCCGTCGCTTTTTAACAGGTGGGGGGAGAAGGAGGTGTTAAAGTCAAGGATGTGGCAAAGAAATCAGTGTTGGTATTTGGGAGCCAGACATCCACAGCAAGTGTGCTTCAAGAAGAGCACAAGGCACTCGGTCCCACAAGAACCTGTTTTAGGGTGCTGCAGGGACCTCCTCGCTGTTCCCGTTGATTTCCCTCAATGCAAGGAGCATCTGCTCCTGCTCGTGGGAAAAAAAGCTGGGAGACCAAGCAAAGCTATCCTCTCTCTGCTACCCTGGAAGTGCAGAAAACACTTTCTGGAGTATTATCTGCAGCTGCCAGGCAGGAGGTAAGGGCAGTCACCTGCCCGGGGAGCCAACAGACAGCCACAGCAACTTGCTTTTTCTTATCAGCTACTAGCTTTAGGATGGAAGCAAATTAAGATAGAGAGCTTTAGAAGGAGAGGGGAGCAGAAAGGCAGAGTCACCAGTGGTTGTTGGGAGAAGTTAACTCAAGGTAAGTGTTGAATAACAAGAGTTAGTGATGAAGGGGACACAAGGAAAGTTTTGTTGGCTTTGAGGTATTGGACCCAGAGAGATATGAAGCTCTTCTGCCTGTTTGCCCAAATCCCCAAACCAGCTCCATCTTCTTAGTTGTTTATTTCTGTGCACTGCCCTTGCTCCTGATTAAAGGGAGCATTTTAATGCTGTGCTTTGGCCCTACCTGTGCTGGCAACCAGTACCCGCTGTGGGGCTCGGGCCAGAACGGGCACAGAAGAGCCAAAGTGCCCTTCCCAGCACG